CATATTTGAAGCGCGCTATAGCCGAAGCTATTTATGGTAGAGATGTTAAACTTTTTTAAGAATGATCTATATATAGCCTAGGTGAGTGTCGTCTTAAGATATGATTATTGGTGTTCAAGACGAGTTTCGAATAAATATCCAAACATGTACCTACGGACAATTATGCCCTAAACTTGGTAATTTTTTTCGCCTAGATTGTTTGGGGTATCGAATTTAAATTAACACCAGAGACAGTACGTATCATTACCATCTTCAGAATACAAAATAATGTGTTCATTGTTGTTTTTTTTTTTTCACGTTGAGGAATAAATTAACTCGTGGGGGAAGATTTCTAGAATTGCTCAAGTTCAGCGCGTCATAATTTTTTTTTCTCATTTTACGTTTTTGGAACGTGTTTCTTTTGGCCTGTACACATTTCGGTAGGGGAAACTTGTTTGATAGTTCTGGGCCTCTGAATATGCAAGAATACAACACTTCCGGCGGGTTCTTGATAGTTTTTTTTTTCTCTCCAGCTTTTTATTTTTGCAATTACTGTTATGTTTTTTTGTTGATTATTTTTTACCAATGACACAGTTATTTGTGTCGAAAAGACATAGCTTTGAACTTTCGAGCCACCGAGCATGTGACGATCAGTGCCCCCTGACGAAGAGTTTCTAAAGGCCTGTTCACACATGCAGCGGAGCGCAACAAGCATATCGCTGACCTCGTGCTAAGCAGGTGCCGACGGGAGCGTTCACCAGCTTTGTATCGCACCGTCGAAATTCTGGCTCATGGCATACGATAAGTACCTGACGGCACGTGAGCAGCGTTACATCAGCGCTTCGCTGCGATGACCATCTACGCGATTCTTTATGCAGTGAAGAGCGACAGTAGCTATGCATATGCATAAATAATTTCAGATTAAAATAAGCTCGACCATGCCCTCTTTCCCCGAATTGTTTTTTTTAACAGTCCGAATTATCTGGGAGGGGGGAAGGGGAGACACTGAAGCTCCCCCCCCCCCCCCCCGTGTTTCCTCTTCCGACGCCACTGGTATGGTAGGACGCTCCTCGACCTCAAGTTGCGTCAGCTTCTTTGCTTTTTGCTCGGCGTTTCTTCCGCCCCAAAAAATAAACCTCCACAGCAATTACAAACAAAAAAAATTATCAAGGTGCAGGCGAGCTGGTGTATGTTGATCATGATGCGAAATCCCGAGACTGGGAATGAAATTCGCAAGAAATAGTGTAAGAGGAAAGGAAAAAGGGGACAGGACAACGTCTCAAACTCAGCTGAGTTGAGTTTGAGACGTTGTCCTGAGCTGAGTTTTCAGCTGAGTTGAGTTCGAGACGTTGTCCTGTCCTTTTTTTTTCTGTTTCTTACACTTTTTTTTTTCAAATATCATTCCCAGTCTCAGGATTTTGCATCATGTACAAACTAAACTTACTATTTGCCAGGGTCACTCGGGCGGCGTTCGATCGGATTCCTACCAGCATGCAAGGGGGTAGGGGGGCAGTTTGCCAGATCACTTAAAGGTTTTTGGGTCATTCCATCTGAAACGTCCCAGACGTTGCGCTCAACCACCTCCGATTTCTAAAAAAAATATTCATGAGCTTCGGCCACAATGTCAGTAGCCATACCCTAAAATAGTTTTGACGAAAAAAATATTTTGATTACGTGAGCGCGATTTTAGTTTTGAAAACAGCGTGAAACTAGGCATCAGTCAATAATTTACGAAAAATCAGCTTTTTTATGAAACACCCAACAATATTTTTTCTTCAATTTGCACGGTTGTCGGCTTATAATGTGGTTCAGTTTGTGCAGTTTTGTTTAATTTAAATATTTTTTACAAATACATAATTTTACTCAAAAATAAACATATTTGTCAATTTATTAAAAAAAATATAATTGCTCCCGGGACCCAAAATAACCTTTTACTGGCTGCCCTTTATGTATATAACCTATAAAAATATTTTAAACCGCTCAATTAAACATCTTGCAGTAAAAAAAAAAGTTGCCAAAAAGTGCGTTTTGACGCATAAAGAGCCGTTCATTCCACCCTGAGGTGGTCCAAGTAAAAATACAAAATATGGTGGGTTTGGAAGAACGATTGATCGTGTTTTGATTCTGAAAGTTTAATCAGATTAATTTTTGTTTAACGCGAGAAAACAGTTTTTGAAGTTGAACTCTCGCACCACTACCCGGCGTCGCTTCTTAACGCCTCTTCGCCACACAGCACGCCACCTGCGACGATAGCCGAAGCGATTAGGTCCAAAGAAACAACGGAGTTTGCTGCCCGCTTCCCCTCGTACCTCTTTTCTGGCTGCAAGGGAAGAAACGGCGGGTATCGGGTGCCGCCAGCGCGTCGCCATAACAGGCCGGCTTTGCCCTTTGTACCCGAGGGCGGCTCCTCACACTCCGAAACCCTATGCCTAATCGACGGGCGGCATCAGCTGACTTGGACGTCTGAAACGCGATAATATCGCTGCGAAATCTAGCCGTCACGCATGCTGCGGTGAAAAGCGGAACTATGATCCGGTTCGCGCTTAGTTGGAGCACAGTGAAGGCTACAGGCGCGTGATCAAAGTCTGAAACGCGCTGATTCAGTATGTTAACTCGGACGCTTGAAGCATCGTCACAAGCCAAAAGTGCGCTTCTAGCATTATTTTCGGTTCATATTATCAGTGCGGGAACCTTTACATGACCCATTGGAAATATTGAATAAACGAAGGCACGTGTCCGCACTATTGACACTGGGTATCGAGTCTCATTCCTTGCCTTTTGAGGAACCCGCTTCTGCGCTAGTAAGCTAAGAAAGGGCTGACAAGCGAGAAGTTGGCTTTTGAACGACCATTTGAAATCAGAAATCTGTCGAAGAAAGAACTTCATTTTTCGTCAAGTACGTTGTACGGTGGTGTAACGATGGATGAAGCTGGTCCCTCTGGAGAAAGAAGTCAATCTACGGTTCCTGTGGAAGCTGATCGGGGTACGTAGGAAAGCCGGCTTTATTTTCTACAATACAATGATAGTTGTTTCGTGTTTACTCGTGCCTACCCTATCACAGTATATGTATAGTTGGGGCCGCTCAATTCATGACTTTTTCAAACCAGATGGACTTGCTATTTTTTTTAAAGCTGGCCGTTTGTCGTACATCTAGTATGTGTTACGTTAGACATGTACAAGCCCAAGCTTTAGGGAAGGATGCGTTGGCTTATATTAAATACACATGGTTCGCCTTATACCTGTCACAAACCAATGTGCGTTATAAAAGTTCAAAGCCGAATGGCATTTTGCGTGCAAGGCTAGCTTCTGCACGTAAGGCGCATATGTGCCCGAGATGTCATTTATACGCAGCACGCAGATATGGCTCACATGAATGAAGGAGCAGTCATGTTGCATTTAAATTTCTTTTTCATTGCAAAAGCCGAACTTCCTCCGTGCTCCCTGGGTGCAAGGGGTTGCCATGTGACCAGACAGACCAAGACGCGGTCCCTCATCGACGCTCAAGACCTGACGCACACGGATCGGCGGCTCCTTTCGCTCCGTTCCGGGCGCCCACAAGGTGACATCCGTACAGTGTGTTCACATCATTATCAAGTATACCTTAAAAAGTACACATCACTGATTGCATCCAAGTGGTGTTCTAACCCTTTCTATGAACACGTCAAAAACCGCCGTGGATGAGCTGTCGTTACAATAGCCTTGGCTGATGCGCACCCCAATTTAAACCTTATTCCTGGAAACCGAGTTTGTCAAGCATGCCGGCGAAATTGTTTCGAATTGAAGAAGAGACCTACTTTTCAAGCACCAGCACCACCTCCGGCTCGTGATGCCCCTTCTGAGCATGATGACCCCGAGGTAGCACTTGAGAGCGTGAACGAGGCCCTCGCAGCCGTTGGAGAGAGCCCTCCAACGAAAACGAGGGCGAATAAGCCGCTAGACATACGCCCAAAAGAAGGTTAGACAACTTAAAATCTCTGCCGAAAGAAGAATTTATACATCTTTGGGTGTACAGCAGAAACGAACTTCTCATCCGAACCAGGATGAAGATTTTGTCTTGAGTGACTACGTGTCACTCATGCAAGATGTAAAAAACAAGTTTGATCTGGAGAAAAATAGAGAGAAAAAATTACAACTTCTAACATTGGCCCCACCCTCTTGGTCTCGCGCAAAGATTATGAACTTCCTTGGAGCCTCAGAACGACAAGCGCGTCAAGCCGTAAAGGTCAGGTCAGAATCAGGAATATTGGGCACCGTGCCAAAAAGAAGAGGCCGCCCGGTCAGCGAAGAAGTTAAAGGGGTACGGAAACCAAATTCTGGAGCTCATTTCTTTGTTTCAACACGACGCAGGTAGCAGCACAACCACAGAAACATAAATATTGCGCTATAAAACGCAAGAAAACATATTTTAAAGTGAATTAAACGATAATCAAAAACCACCTGGTAGTTGGTTATGAAGCTTCAATGGAATGTCGTGACGACAACATGCCTCTGAAAGCAGCGCCACAGCGGTATGTCCGCTCACTGGTATAGATTGCCTAGGCCTGAACGCAATACCGAGGCGTCTTGGTGGAAAGAGCCAAAACGAAGTGAGCCACCTTGGTTTCAGCTCTCGCGCGACGTGCAAACGCGTGCTTCGGTTGTTCTCAGGTTTGGTGCGCGTGTCTTTGTCGTGAAGTTTAACACGCATCATTCTTCTGCGAGGTTTTTCGGCGACTTTACGACGGGATGCCAAAATATTGTGCGGCAGAGGGTTGTGGGAACAGTGTTGGTTGTGAGACGTCGGCACACACGTTTCCAAAGGACGAGAAGCTCTGTTACCTGTGGAGTCGTCTCGCTCGCCCGTCATTTCCAACGTGGTTTCCCTCGAAAAGTGATCGTCTATGCAGCGAGCATTTTCGGGATGAGGACTACATCAGGAGCCCCAGTGCACTGAAGAGTGTGCATTTGCCGACCAAACAGAATCGGTTGAATCCAGGAGCTCTTCCGAGTGTGTTTTCGAAAAAGCGCAAACCGGAAGACCTCGCCGAACACATCGAGAAGCGACGCAAAGTGGTAAGTGAGAATTCTCTTTATAAAACATCCCCGTGTTTGCGAATCGTAGTTTTATTCAGAAGTGTTGGGGGTATTAATTAATTTTACGCATGATTTATTCGCGTGCGACTAAACATTGCTTGTAGTTTTGCTAATGTGAAATGAAGTAACGAGTCGTCATTTGATATACTATTATTTGCATCAGACGCCTCCGTGCGATGCCGCTCGCAGCCTGGAAGAGGAGGATGATACCTGGGGAAATACTGAGTTCGAAGTGGTGGAGCAGTCATCTGCTAAATCAGGTAGGAATTCGCAGAAATTTCTTGTCTTTCGATAAACACCTGTTCATGCCACACCAACAGGCACATATCAAGGCGGGAGGGCATGGGGCCCGGCCTCTTCCCCCCCCCCTCTCCCCCCCCCCCCCCGAAATCTACCATTTTGCTGTGCCCCCCCCCCCCCCTAGAGCATTTTGTCATCGCCCCTCCCCCCCTGAATCAAAATCCTGACTACATGCCTGCACACCAGTATTGTTAGCACACAATATTTGGAACAAAAGTCGAAGCATATTTCCTGAGTACTTTTGCTCTCTGCTCTCTCCCTAACCACTGCAGTTACCCTGGATGCTGCAGCTGGTGGACAGCTGGCTGCCGCAGCGTCCCCAGCCGCTACGGCCCTGACCGACAGCCCTCACACGCCCTCCGGTATGTATGGGCCACAAATCGAGTGCCATATAATGAGTGAGGGAATCTAATGGGATCATGAACTGCGTGCTAGGTGTGCATGGACCATTGGTGTTTTTTCTTTTAATCTTCATAGTTTCTTCAGCAATAGCATTCTTCTCCGTTCTCTCACCTTCCTTCAGCTGCCTCGGCCAGAGGACAGCTTGCTGCCGTGGGGTCCCTGAACGCTACGGCCCTGACCGACAGCCCCCGTACGCCCTCCGGTATGTATGGGCCACTAACTGAACCTCTGCCATATTGCAATATCTGTCCTAGAACAACTGTTTAAACATGTGCCCAAATTGCGTGCCTTGATGCCACCGTGAACACCCATACAATGCTTTGATGGTATTAACGGTTCCCAGGTGATTTTATAGTTCCTTCTTTCTTTTCTCTTTAGGGAACTCCAGTGCGGCAACTAGCACAAGGCCGTCTTTGGCATCAGCAGCAGCGTGTTGCAAGACACGGTGTGCACTGACACAGACGACGGGCATCTACAAAGATAAAGGTGGGGTCATATGCTGGAACTTGTTTTGGTTGGTATGAGAATGCCTTAAAGGAGATTACTTTATATGGGAACCTTATGTTTGTGTTTATGGCATTGCATGATGTCAGAATGCCACGTGACATCATTTTCACATGACAACATGGTGTCATGTGACGCCTCAGTGCGACGGTCACAATTTACCGAGTTTATTTTTTTCACAAACTTCAGATAGAAAGTGCTGTTTGTTAAACACTCCGTCAAGTGTTGTCACACCCTTACTGCTTTTGATGGAATGTCTAAGCCAGATGATTTTTAAATGCATATCAAAAAATATTTACCATGAAAGTTATATAGATTGGCGGAAGCCAAGATACCTGTTGACTTATACATGAAGATATTACTTGAGCAATTCTAGAGATGTACTTCTAGAATTCATGGGATGTCATGAGGGTTTCTTTATTAGAAGCTTTGGCACAATTTCTGAAGTGTTCCAAGTAGCCGCCAATCCAATATTAAATTCAAATATGTGCATTTTAAAGTGTAAAGGCATGTTTCTAGAGCTGCACACTGTTCACCAGTTACCCAGGCATGCATCAAACCGCCGTCAAGGACCCGGTTCGTGCAGACGGATGTTTTGGGGACGATGGTCTGGTGTTCTTCACCGTCTCACGGAGACGATGCGCTCGACACTGATCTGGATCTCTCAGATCTGTGTCCACCAAGAGCAGAAGCGGATTCCAGCTACTGTCTGTCAGAGGACAGCTTTGCTAGGTTTGTATGCTCTTGAGCTATAACTGACCGCATCTTCATTCTTGACTGAGCCACTTGTTGAGATGATGTTTGTTTTTGCAACATAGCCCCGAGAATGAAGCTCCGTCTTTGGTGCATGAGCGGAAGTTCATCGTCTTCGAGTCATGCCTGGACCAGCTACTGGAGACATGTCGCTCCTGTGCTGCCCCCAACACTCACATCGACAAGACCGTCCAGGGCTCAAGCCTTCAGGTGTCTACGCTCTGTCGGAGCGGCCATACAGAGACGTGGTGCAGCCAACCTGTCATCAGGCGGAAGCCAGTTGGCAACATCCTGGTGGCTGCTGCAATTCTCTTCACGGGCTGCAGTATCAAGAAGGCCCTGCGGATGCTCTGTAGCATGGGCATCGCCTGTTTCTGCTACAAGACCTTCTTTATTATTCAGAAGGCCTTTCTGCTCCCGGCAATCGAGAAGGTATAATTAAGGAAGAGTATTCAGGCCATGCAGAGCTATAAAGCTAAAACACAACACAAAATATTATGACGGCAGTATGTACTTTAGAACTGAGAATTTATTTATATCAGAAAAAAAGAGTCAATACCTTCGCTCAAACAGCTGTGGAAAGTGTCATTTCCAAACTAGGCTGCCTTTATATGCTGATCCTTTTCAATCACGAGGGCAGTCGGTAGGGTGGCCCTCTTTTCTTCTTTGGGGTATTTTAGTGGCATGCTCAAAATGTGAAGAGCTGAGTGATTAATCAAATGTCTATTTCATTTCATTTGACCCCTCTTGTAGAGCAAGTATTAACAGAAATTGCATTTGTACTGTTCATCTGTGTTTGTTTGGGTACAGCAACGAAAATAACCTGGCCATAATTCAAAATTGCGGTCGTGCCAACAAATGGGACAAAAAAAGACATTGGTTTATGTCTTCATGCCTTTTTTGCCAACCCAGTTTCATTGTAGGAATCCTTCATTTTACATAACCAGGTGTGTAACAAGCACCAGCTGGAGCTGGTCTCGGCCGCAGCAGGAAGTCAGCTGGTCATCGCTGGGGATGAGAGAGCGGACTCGCCTGGCCACTCCGCCAAGTATGGTACATACACAATGCTTGACGTCGAGGACAACAAGGTTCTCCATGTTGAAACCGTCCAGGTTTGTACTGAAATCCTGAGTGCCTGAAGCACACACTGTAGTGTTTGCCGCTTAATAAAGTAATGCAGGGCTGCTTAATTAACATGCAGTGTGAGATTTATTTGCATATTTTGTCGTAATCGTTGCACCAACAAATTCAAGCTCCAGTGTGCACTTTTGGCGGCAATATGAGCTGGCACAGCTTACTGCCAGCCAAAGGGGGTAAAATGCTGCGTGAAGTGCCTCAGCATGCATTCAGACTACTGCATCCTGAACGCCTCTGTGCGAGATCATATTGCCGTTCCTGAAGCACATTTTTGCTGCCTAATGAAGAAAGGTGTCGTGCCCATCCCTGCTTCTAGAGGGATGCACAAATAATTTCAATATATCAACTTCATAAAAAAATATTGCACTAAGGACAAGACGAAGATAAGAACAGCACAAGCTTTCGTCCTGTTCATATTTTTGTCTTGTCCTTTTTCTAATTGTTCTGGCGATGTTTATCCAGCTAGCCCAAAAGTTAACTTTTTATACTAACATGAGTCTCATGTTTACTTCATTTGTACATTATAATGTTCTCCCCGTTTCTTTTCAGAGCAATGAAACGGGTGGCAGCTACCACATGGAGTTGGAGGGCCTTAGAAGGTCTCTAGACATTTTCGAGGCCCACTCTCTCGTAGTGGCAGTGCTTGTGACAGACAGGCACCCCCAGCTGAGTGCTTGCTTGGAAAGGGATCACCCGGACATCTGCCACCTCTTTGACTGCTGGCTCGTTACAAAAGGTAGTTTTATAAAAGTTACACCTTCCTGCTTCTTTGGATTGCAAACTAGAATACCTGCACTGCGAATGAGTATGTCCATCAACACTATAGTCTGTTTCATACTTAGCGTGCAACGCTTTCAAAGCTACTGGCGCGAGTGTGGGGCTTGATATCGTTAATCATTTGCACGCGATCTCGCGCAAACAAAACCATAGATGAAGCCACGCGCTCGCGCCAGTAGCTTTAACAGCGTTGCACGCTAAGTATGAAACAGAGTATAGATGTTAGTTTCTGCTTCTTAGATCTCTTGGTTAAACCCCTTACTAACCTGTTTCTTTGAATGGTTAGGTATTTTGCAAAGGAGCTGGCTCCTGTTATGAATCCCATGAAACAAGGTTGCGCAGCAGTTCTCAAACTCCAGGGAATGCAACAGATTGTCTTTAGGGGGAAGGGTGGGGTGGGGCAGCTGAGGATGTTTAGAATGTGAGGCAGTTCAAAAGCTCTGTAGAGAAGAAAAGAAATCAAATGCCCAATTGGTTTGGAGAAAGCATGTGTGTTGAAAAGCTCCGGTTGTCGTAATGGCCAGAAGTGCTTGGTGGTCTAGGCCAACTCGTCGGCGGCCCATTCGTCAAAGAGGCCAATTCGTCATAGGGCAACTCGTTGAAGAGACCAACCGGTTTGCAATGTTTCAAAGGCAAAATATATAAATTATGTCCTGAAATTTGAAAACGAATCCTGCCCTACAGCAGTCCGTAACATCGCCGCACGGTAATTTGACTATTAGTGTGCTCTTTCCCGTTTAAGATAACTTACCGCTTTCATGGTGCAGCGGAGGACGATCACCACGTCGCGCGTGCCTCACTGGGGCAGGTGTTAACCTACCCGGCTCACCTGTTCGCACAGCGACAGTCTGCGTCGGTTCATTACGAAAATATTAAAGAAAAGTAACAAAAATATGACCCCAAAATGAACATTTCTCAACTTGTCTCAAGGTACTGTCCTGTCTTTGCCTTCTTGTGACTTTTTTGCGGTCTTGTACCCTAAGAATGGAGGTAAAAAGATAGAAACTACAAACTTTTACTTCGGGTGGTCATTCGACCCATTCGAAGAATTGCCCTCTTACAAATTGGCCTATTTGATGAATTGGTTGTCAACGAGTTGGCCGGATCTCGTGCTTGCTTTTATGACTCACTCCAAATGACCGACCCTATTTTCAATGCAACCCTTGACACATTCATGGCATATTTCTGTCATTACAGTCACTGACCGATTTTTCGGACTTTTCAGGGACCGAAAAAGTGTTCCAATAATAGAGCAGTTTGAATAATCAGCAGATTAAAAATCTTGCCTTTGTTACGTCTATGCTGGTTAAAAAAAGCCATAAAGAATGCTTTGCTTCAGGTTACGCCAGCATGCCTTGCTCAGTTTATGCGTTTGCTTTCGGCCACTTTCTTTTAGCTTGAGAATTGCTGCCTTCTTTTCTAGCATTATAGTCGAACACTTTCCGCGCTTCTTAACGACACTTTGCGGCGGCGAAAGAACAGATGGGGCCACGATGTCCAAGCCAGCGTAGTCCAAAAGCATGATTCACCGAGACGAGATGAGAGGCGTAAATCCACGACTGCAATGGCGAACGAACAAAGCGAAATGGTAACCATGATGATGACAATGAAGCACAGCTAGAGAAAAAAAAAGTTGTATAGCATCACCTAGCGGTAGGACTTAGCAGTACTCAAGTAGTGCTGCCAAACCAAAGCCAATCCATGTACAGCCAACATAGAATCTAAACTTTGCTAGGTGGTGTTTCCCGCTGATCGCTCACAATGATAACTTTTGGACTTCAAGCTGTCCGAAACACTGATCATGAGCATGCTCTATTTCTATCGGGTAGGCCATGGTTCCTCCTTTAGGTCCGAATTATCGGCGTCTGAAAATTGATCAGCGACTGTATTACAGAATACCTTAAAATATGTGTGACAGGTGCCATCTGGTACTGGCTTTTGAAAAAAGCATACCAGCTCTTTCATAGTCAGTCTGAACACTTATTTTTATTGTGTGTACAATGACCAATTTCAGCCATCAAGAAGAAGCTGGTTGCAGCTGGGAAGTCGCGGCATTCCGAGGACCTCAGCAGCTGGACCAAGTCGGTGGTGAACCACCTGTACTGGTCTGCAGGCTCAAGTGCTAAGGACCAAGACCTGATCCTGCCCAAGTGGTGCTCCCTGGTGGCTCATGTGGCAAATGTCCACACACACCTGGACCCTCTCTTTCCGGAGTGCCAGCACAAAGAGCTCAACAAGAAGTGGCTACTGGAAGGTAAGGACATATTTGTGAGTCTTCATAATACAGTGGCCCCATATTACCATGCCTCATATTTTTGTTGTAGGTTCTCCCGCACACCAGAAACTTAAGGAGATTGTGTTGTCAAAGCACCTTCTGCGGGACATTCCCAGCCTCTCACCATCAGCACAAACGTTTGCCACGGAGTGCTTTCATAGCACTTTGTTGAACTTCGCACGAAAGCTGGTGCACTTTGGGTTCCGGAGCACGACGGCAAGGTGTGTAGGGAGGTCAGTCATTTTCTCTTGGTTTCTTAAATGCATCTACTTGCCAGGACCTACCTGGCAGCCTTGCACTACAATGAAAATGCAGCGAGGCTTCAGGCGACAACGAAAGAAGACGAAAAAAGATGGGCGGTGAAGTATCCGAAAGCAAGGAAGGAGGCCGTTGCTGCTAAGCTCAAGGGACCCTGCACCTATGGTATATAGCAGTGCTCATACACTGATCAGTCAAAACGTTGTGACCACCTACCAAAAACTGTGTTGATTCACATTTGGATGCAAAATAGTTGCAAGGATCGCCTGCGGCGGACACCCATATCGAACATTCTGATAAACTGGGCTCAGAAGCACTTGCATTGTGACCTGCATCATATCTAGCTGTCAGCAGACCCACAGGTAACGGCCTATTTTGGTTCAACAAGCGGAAATAGTATTCACCGTCCACATTTTGTGATGCATGGACAGGCAATGCCTTGGCATCTACTAACAGTTTTACCTTCCACTCTTGATCTGTAGTAACCGCAGCAGCTCGCGAACACGCGGTGATTTTTGCAGTTTCCGAGATACTTGTTCCAAGCTTCCAGACCATCACGATCTGCCCTTTGTCGAAGTAAGCTACATCAGCAGCATTTCGTTATACATACACGCATTGTCACCAAAATTATCCCTCTATATCTCTCTGCACCCATTAACTACCATCTGCGTCAGCAGGTGGTAGATAATGCGGATGCCACTTCAGCAAGGCACAATCAGTCACACAGTGTAAGGGTGGTCAAAATGTTTTGCTGATCAATGTATTTGTTTATTACTAGTGCGAAATCTTACATCTTTGGGTATCTCATTGCAGAGTATGTGGGGGAGCTGATGGATGCTGTGCTTGACATCTCCACCGTCATGCCCTCGTACAAGGCCGCTGCAGCTCACTACTGCCGGGACGCTCCTCCCTTTCTCTCCAGTGCCTATGAGCGTGCGGACAAACGAGCACTGGCAGAGAACCACTATTCGAGGTTCAATTCCTAGGTGGTTGGTGTCGTAGCCGTGGATGAAAAACCCTTGACTCTCGGTGTGGCTCTGTGTGATAGGAGAGCCAGGTTTATGTCCCTCGAGTTCTTCAGGAGTCGTTTCGCTCTCTGGACTGCATGCTGTGTCATGCCATTGCTCTGAGCGTAGTACGGACTTGAGGTTATGTGGTTTGCTTCCAAACATTCCACTAGATGCTTGAATTTGGCTGAGGCAAACTGAGGACCGTTGTCCATGCGTACGGTTCTTGGCACTCCGAACCGTGCAAAGATTGGTTCGAAGACCTGAGCGATGTCTTTTGTTGTAGTGGCCTTTAGTTGCTCCACCTCAAGAACCTGGAGTAGTAGTCCACAACTACTGTGTAGTCTCTCCCTTCCAGTTTGAAGGGGTTGATGCCAATAGTGTCTCATGGGTTTTCAGGCAAAGGCATCAACAGCAGGGGCTCAATTGGTGGTTTTCGATGTTATTGGCAGACACAGCATCTTTCAACGAAGTCTTGTACCAGTGCTCCAATGCTGGGCTACCACACCAATGGTCTTGCTCTTGCGAGACATCGGCTTGTGCCCCATGAAGGTGTGGCCAGCATGTAGTCTTTCTAACACCTCAAGCCTCAGGTTTGGTGAGATGTCAAGTCTGTCGCCCTTGAAGAGAAGACCGTCGACCATGGAAAGTTCACTCGCAATCTCTGCGAAGCACCTTAGTTCAGGTCGGCCATGACGAGGTGCACAAGGTAGCCACTCTGGCAAGTGTTAGGTCTGCTTGGATGCCTGCCCTGATTCTGTCCAGCATTTGGTCTTACGCCGGCAGCTGTTGAAGTGTCAACTCCTTGTAGTTTTATACTGCGCACTCAAGGTCTCTTCCGTCATCCTTGACTGGATTTTTTGTGGCTTTCGGGACAGCAAATCAGCAGTGTACAACTCGTTTCCTGGAGTGTGTGACATAGGGTAGTCGTATGCGCATCCGAAAGCGTTGAAGCCGGGGACTCGGCTCATCTAGCCGCTTGATCGTGGGCAGCGTGCACGAGGGGCTTGCGATCCGTTTCTACATGGAATCCAAGGAGGAACTTGCGGAGGTGTTCACATGTGCATGTGATGGCTAACACCTCCTTTTCGATTTGGGCATATCGTTCTGTTTTGGAGAGTGAACGTGATGCATACGCCACTGGTGACAGCCTGTCCCTGCCTGCTGCAGCAGAACAGCTCCTAGCACGTAAGATGAAGCACCGACTGAGACAGTAAGCGGCTGCTGGGAGTCGTAGTGGACGAGAACTGGTGTTGCGTTCAGTGCCTGCTTGATCCAGTTGAAGCTTTGTTGCTGAGCTGGATCCCAAAGCCACTCTGCATCTTGGTGCATCAGGTCCATCAGCGGTTTTGTCATGTCCGCCAGACCTGGAAGGAACTTTGCTAGGTGATTTGTCGAGCCCAGTGAGGACCTCACTTCGAACAAGTCTGATGGTGGGTCGAGTTGAGTGATGGCTTCCACCTTGCTAGGATCAGCACAGAAACCTTCTGCAGATACCACATGTCCTAGGAACTTGACCCTGCTTTGACGAAAGGTGCATTTGTTGATGTTGAGGGTCACTCCTGCTGCTTCCAGCTGGCTCAACACCTTATATAGATTCTTGTCTTCCTCCATCGTTCGCAGGAAACGATGACGTCAGCTTGTAAACATGCCAGACCGTCCTGTCCTTCGAGCACTCGAAGCGTCTCTCATTGGTGCAGCTCTGGTGCTGTCGATATTCCGAAAGGCAGTCTCTGGATAAAGGTTGCGTACTTGCGAGATTGTTCAGCGAGGGGCACCTGCCAGTACCCGGCTCGAGCATCTAGGCAGCTGAACACTTGCACCGGCTAGTTTGGCGAGGCACTTGTCGACTGTTGGCATCAGCATTCCTTCACGAACCGCCTGTTGGTTCAGTTGACCATAGTTGACACAAACTCTCAGCTCACTGCTCTTTTTCTTGGGGAGGGGAGGGGGACTATAGAAAGGCACCACCCTGTTGGTTTTTCCACCTTCTGGATGACCCCTATGTCTTGCATCCTTTCCAATTCCTTCTCTACATGTGGGAGCAGTGGAAGAGGAACTTGCCTTGGATATGCGACGCCGTAGGGCTTGGCATCGTTCTTCACTTTGATGCGGTATTCAGTCTTCATAAGTCCGAGTCCGGATGTCAACCTAGCATACTGATCCAGAAGATCGGAGATATCGCTTGATCACGCACGTCTCCCCAAGCTCGAGTGGGCACTGCATAATGCCAAGAGACTCCACTGCTGGTCGGCTTAGCAATGCCTCTCTCCAGCCTTTGATGACATTGTCGTGTGTGCTTGCACCACGCCGGTCAATTGTGGCTTTGAAGTACCCCACTGTCGCCTTTGGCGTTTGGCCAGCCAGTGTCAGTGTTGAGGTGTTTAGGGGTCCCATGGTCTCCTTGTTGTAGTCGTGAAGTGCAATGGCAGTTACGTCTGCACTGGTGTTGACCTTGATTTGTGCAGGCGAGCCGTTGACATCGACAGTGACTCCCCATGGTTCCGCGGTTGACCGGGTTTTGACCAGGGACTCAAACCGTAACTGTAACCGAAAACGAAAACCGTTTAGGAACGAAATTTTTTCTGTAACCGTAACCGGAACGAAACCGTTATTTGATATTTATAAAAACCGTAACCGTAACCGGAACCGTAAATTATTCACCGGTAACCGGTTTTAACCAATATTAACCGAAAAATAAACTATTAGCTTTTCTGAAGTATGACCTGGAGGAGGGATCTTAAATTGTTGTGGCCATTTGACAGAGTTACTGTCAGCGAGTGGTGTATCTGGTTACATATTTCCATTCAATCTGACTTTAGGAATAAGAATACTCAGATTGAATTAGTGGTCGAGCTTATAATTAAAAAAATTCTATATTTCTAAATCTGCCACACTCCTACATCGCTACATGTATTCAGTACGTGTCGCTTTCAGTGAATTAACTAATAAGTTCGAATTCTCAGATGTCCATCCAACTCGGTTCTATCAAAACCACCGATGTTCCTGACATGCAGTAGCCAGTATAAAGAAACGAGGTAAATTGGCCATCATGCAGAGCTGGCGGAAAAGAAAACCTGGGCCCGTTTGCTCGAAGCGCTAACCGCGGCTAAAGTTAGCAGCAGTACCTAGGAGAGGGAGTTTGAAATCACGTGACTGGGGGCTGGGATGCCGGGAAGCATGGCGGCGCCCCGGTGCGTGAGCGCCGCTCGCTTTGTAACTAATATGTCGTTGTAGCTGCACTATCGGGCGCGTTAGTCAGCAACGAATGGTGCAGGAGGCTTTCGCTTTGTCTTACCTCGCTTAAATCGCAAAGCACGAGCAATGACTTCGCGGCATTTGTTGCATAGTCTTTTGATTCTGGCCTTTCTAAGCCTAATTGAACGCGATAATTGTCGGCATGGCAACGTCTTTGGAAAGCGGATTGCCTTGACTCAATCGACCGGATATTAATAGTACACAAAAGAAGACCAGCGTCCCGCCCCAACAGACCTTTTTCTAAATTACCCAAGCATCGAGAAGAACGTTGGAAGCGTAATTCTATGGTCCGCGCTCGCTGTCCTTCCTCTTATAAACGATTCGAAGTAAATAATCATTATAAGACTTGGACGAACGTGCGTGCAAGGCAAAATTTGTTTTAGACTTTTTCCTTTAGAACAATAGGCCCGTAGCTCACAAGTTTTGAGCAGCGCTGCAGGCGAGCAAAATAGAATATTTAGCTCGCGTTTCGAACATGCATCAATACGCTTCCCCACTAGAGTTTTTTCTACTCAGTTCCATTCTAAATTCCAGCGTAGCAGAGGCTACAAGAGCGAGCTGCGAGCTTTCCGCGTCCCTGCCAAGCACGCGCGCTCGTGCAGTGCGAGCATCGTTCAGGATGACGCGCTTTTCCGAGTAGCTTCGGCTTCACTATCACGTAAAGTGAAATATACGTGCTCGCGGAAGCTGTGAAAGAAAGCAAATATGAAAGGAATGTTTAATGGAACGCTGCGGCCGCAAGCAGCATAATTCTGTTCTTTTTTTTTACTTTTTTTAGACGTTTTGTTACCGCACATCTACAGATGCTGACAGCGGCTTGTATTCGAACGTGGCACGTGCAAAATCGAACGTTACAGCGCCACACGGATGATGCAGCCAGCAAAACTTGGTCGCGTCTTGCGTAAGTCTTCCGGACGCGCTCGCGCCCCCTGCCCAGAGCAACGGGTATATTACTACTGCATACGCCAGCACGCGCAATGCCTGCAACTACACTCGTAGCATGCACCTCGGTGCTTGGGAAATTCGTGTGCTATCAATACAAGGCCGATTGAGTCAAGGCAATCCACTTTCCAAAGACGTTTCCATGCATGCTGACAATTATCGTGTTCATTTAGGCTTAAGAATGGCCAGAATCGAAATACTATCTAAAAAATGCGGCGAGGTCATTGCTCATGCTTTGCGATTTAAGTGAGGTAAGGCAAAGCGAAAGCCTCCTGCACCATTAGTTACTGACTAACGCGCGCGATATTGCAGCTACAACGACATGTTAGTTCCGAAGCGAGCGGCGCTCACTTTGCGGGGCACCGCCATGTTTTCCCGCATCCCTGCCGATCCCTGTCACATGATCTCAGAATCCCTCTCCTAGGTACTGCGGCTAACTTTAGCCGCGGTTAGCGCTTCGAGCAAACGGGCCCTAAAGCCCCTGTATCCTGGGAAAAGTGGCGCCTTCATTGTTGTGGAAACGCGCGAGACACGTTCAGCGCGCCACTTCTGGAAAGAACATGGCGTCTGAAATCTAGCTCAGTGCTGCGCTGTGCCGCCCTGACCTTCCCAAGGGATGCACGTTGCACGTGCCTCGTGCATCGACGCACTTTGCGCTACTTTTGAAACATGAAGGGGCTTTAATGGGCCCTGCTGTTCATTAATAATGTTTATGTTGTTCATTTAGTGTGAAACGTGTCGCGAGTGACGATTTTGAAACAACACAGAAAGAAAAAAAAAAGTCAGGGGTTTGACATTGGCGTTTTGTATTATATATGCAATATATATATATATATATATATATATGCTCGGGCTGAGAGTGGTGGAAGGAGCGAGGAAACGTCAGAAGGGTGTCCG